CTCTGGGGAAATGGCTTGAATGAGCAAACATGAGTTTGACATGCATGCTCCTCTGGTTTTGCAGTGCTTCACACTGCAAGGACTTGGTGCGGAAGAATCGGTGCAGGTGAATGCCTTTGAGCCTCCCGTGTTTCAAGCTGGGGACCCGTGGGCGCGGCGTCAGTTCTTAGTGCCAACACACTTTTTACAGATAACACCTTTCTTGTTGGTGATTCGTCGGTTGCTGGACATTGCCGAAACATGCTTTCTTGAGTCAATGGATGATGGCTTGCCGCCAGTGACCGATGACGGAGCGCAAGCCAAAAAGCCTAGTGTCCGTGAGAGGATTTCTGCAGCACTGGGGGTTGTTTTTGATTTGATCATTCTCCCGGCTTAGCGAGGCGAGGGTGAGGGGGGGGGGGTGGTCGGGAATAAGTCGGCACGAGCGACTAGTGCCGATGGCAGCATGCACCTGCCGTGCCGTCGCCTCGAGTGGCCGGTTCCAAAGGCACTTGTTGCTACGCCACATTGTCAGAAAGTAGCTCAGTAAGTTGCACCTCTAAACCGAGAGTATGCATTAAAGGCAGCTGGCCATTGAGCTTTGTGGGTCGCCCCAGCTGTGGGCGGCAAGGCGCGGCAAGGCTTGATGTGAAAACGCTACTCTGCTTGCAGCTTGCCCGGATTGTATGGTACCAAAGGCCTTCTTTGCTTCGCTCCAGCTGCTCGACCAGCTGAAGAGCCTGCCAAAATGTCGTAAGGCTCCGCAGGCCTATGACGAGCTACAAGCGGTGCTGGAAATTCTCAGGATCCTTTCACAGGATCCAGTAACCTCCTGGTCCTTTGGTCCTAGGGCTACAGGCGGCGGCGGCCTCAACCCAGCGAAAGTTCTTCTCGCAAGCGCTGACCTCTTTGCGCCAGAAACACTCAGCCATGCATACGCTCGACAGTGTAGGACGAGGCAGAAATGAACGAGGTCTTGCACTTTCAGTCGCTCATACCGCTCATCTCTGTGGCTCTGGGAAGCAAGCCGTTGAATTATAGGTCACCTGGCATCAACATGTTTTAACTGCAGACGTGTTGACAGGGTGCCCACACTCGATATGGGGGTTCCCGAAAATAGGGGACCCTAATATAGTACCCTAAATAGTAGGATCCCTATTATAAGGACCCCAAAATAAGGTACCCCTAATAATCGGAAACCCCCATATGGCCGGATTTATTCAGATTTCAAGCTAACTATTTTTATAACCCATGTTAGGGGACTTATAACCCTACTTCTAACTACCCATGAACCTCCAAGTATTCAGATTTCAAGCCGGCATCGAAGCACCACGTTAGGCCGCACAGAGCGCAGCGACATCTCGGAGAAGAGGGCAATCGCACGACGCCACCTCGAGACTGACACTTAAGCTCAGATCGAGCCAGCATTAGGGTTTAGGGTTTAGGGTTTAGGGCAGATTCTGCCTAAACAGTTGTTTCTTACACTGGCATCCTTTTCTTGCATCCTGCGGTCACGAGCCGTCTCTTCTGAAATCGTCCAGGAGGCTGCATGCCCTTCTCGCAAGCACTGATGCTGGCATTGTATACCTCGCGATCTCTCCCAATTAAGTGTTTTGCTTCGAGCCCAAGCATTGCACTGAACCCAATCTCTGATATTCGCTGATAGCTCCAGAAAGCTTCCACTATCTCCCACTCCTAGACTCCTAGACACCTACTGCTGTTCGGAAGGTGCTTCAGATCACTGAACTTCTCGCTTCCCACCTTTGGGGAATGCTGCAGTGATAGCATGGCAAAGGTGCGTGTCCAGTGAGAGGCAGTCACTCTGCAGGCGCACGACGGCATCTGACTTCAAGCCTCGATATTGTGGCGGGCAGACTTGCATGGACCACACCGAGCCCATGATCGGAGGCTGAACTGCGGGACCGCAAGATAGGGATCACATCTAGCTGCGAGCTAGTAACAAGCGGCTCGGCCCCCCCTCTTCAGCGCTTCTTGACAGCCGGGTGCTCGCGCCTCTACGGCTCAGATCCCGAAGAAAATGAAGAGCCAGGTGCCAAGCATGTCCCTGGCTCCACCGGGCACGGTTCGAAGGTGCTCAACAAAGCAGGAGGGTCCAAAGCTCAGTCATGGGAGATGCTGCAACGACGCTTGGCCTAGCCTTCTCACAGGCACTCGTCGCCGCGCCTGCAGCACAGCCCTAAAGCCCAAAGCCCTAAAACCCTAACACCAAAAAGCCCTACAGCCCTAAACCCTAAACACTAACTCGTTGCAAATTGGCACGAAGCTGAAGCAGTCGAAGCAGTTCTCTCACAAACACCATGTCCCGAATTCAGAGTACGGTGACGAAGCTTAACTGGGTTGTAGTTTTGGGGCCCTGAAAACTATTTAGGAATAGGTACCTCCATAGAAACCATGAGGGAAATTTTAAAGTTTTCCCAAATTGCCACCTAGTTAAGCACTCCTTCAACTGTCAGGCCGACGGCGACATGTGATTCAGAATCTTTGTTGCCAACCAGTTTTGCATTGGAGCGTCTAAGGACGAAACGAAAGGTTTCACTACGAGTCGACAGCTTGCGACGATTGCTGGGGTCCTGTCGAATTGCTCACCGCAAGAACTATGGGTCAATAAATTCAGTGCACCCGAGGAACTGAACTCAATGAAGACTCGCGGCGCTTCAAGACTGATCATGACTAATCCGTGAGGCACCGGGGACCGCACTCCAAATCCACAAGTCAGGGCGTAGCTTCAGCTGAATCATCCTCGGTTACTGCGATAAGATGAAGCAAACAAGCTGCGAATTTTCCGGTCGCTGGGAGTGGAATGTGCTGCCGAGCCGAGAGTCTTCCGCAACAACAGCAATCCCTGTTGCCACTCCAAACCTGCAAGCGGGAAAGCTCAAAACATTGAGGCGACACGCCTGATAGGTATGGTTCTGGCCTCTGGAGCATGCACCCATCGCGGCTCCTCGCTTCTCATCGCAGTATCAGTCCGCCGGACCAAGACAAGCACGTAAGGCCGGACGCCATGCAACGCATTACACTGCACTTCCTTGCGCTGCTTACTGGTAAACAGCAAAGACAAAGCAATTGCACCCTGCCCCTCGCGCTTCAGGCGCCCCCCGTATGTTATGGGGGAGCAGAAACGCCATAGGCAGCCCACAGCAGACGTCAACCGGTTTGGCCGAGAAAGTGCAGTGCTGAGGCATATCGCAATCCAAAGGAATCATCACAAGCTCCGTTGTTGCCTCATGTAAACACATGTCTTGGGATCTACGTGCTCATAGCAACTGGCATGTCTTCATCATTACCATCGGACTCATAAAAGAACAGTCGGTATAAGACATCCAAGTACAGAAGAGGTTCGATGACAGATGTTGAGCTGTCGAGAGTGGTGGGGTGAGACTGATTTCGCACTAAAGGCTATCCCCCAGCAACGACGTTATGTCCAGATGGACTAAGGTCGCGCGCTGAGCGCCAGTGTTAAGGTAACAGGTTTGCCGCGGCAGAATAAAGAAGCTACATTTTAAAAAAAGTAACACAACTATAGTTGACCAAACCCTAAACCCTAAACCCTAAACCCAGGGCTTAGCCTGTTCTGGGAGTCAGCCCACTATGAGACTTGTTGAGGCGTGGATTTATCGGGGGCGACCCCTGGCAAATCCCGTCTCACATGTCCCTAAACCCTAAACCGTCAAACGCAGTCGAGGCCCAGAGGGCGGCGTGCGACGTCGTCCGTGGGAACGTCCCGAATCGGCGGATTCAGCGGTTATCGTTTAGGGTTTGCAGAGTTGCCGCCACATCATCAAGTGTTTCAAAACAAGGCCCGTTTCCCATATCCACACTGGGGTGCCCCCAAATAGCCTCTGTCCATGTTGTCGGTAAGGTGTGTGCCTCTGCCACCACCGCTGCCATGTCTCGAGTAGGGAAAGGCATAACATGCCTAAGTACCCAGAGACTCCAATATCCCTTTTTTAAGGAATATACCTTAAATCATATTCAGGATCCTACTATAATTTAAGGAATATTCCTTAATTAAGGAATATTGGAGTCTCTGGGTAGTGCTTGTGCTTTCGCAATTTGATACGGGGCGGCATCCCCTTGGCCTCGGGGTGTAGCTGGTTTAGGGTTTAGGGTTTAGGGTGGATGTGCCCGGGTTGTAGTGGGTGGGAGCTGCCCAAGTTGGGCCCTGAGGAACTTGAGGGGGCGTCTCTTATTGGCTGGGGATGAAAATTAGGGAAGGTCCCCTGCAAGATTTGCCATAGAGTCTGGAGCTTCGTGAATGAGTGTTTGCAGGTAGCCTGCGCATCGAGCAACATTGTCGAGCAGGTTTTGTATATATTGCACAGCATCATGCGGGCCATTTTCCGCGCGGGCAACAACCCAGAGACTTCAATATCCCTTAATTAAGGAATATACCTTAAATCATATTAAGGATCCTACTATAGTTTAAGGAATATTCCTTAATTAAGGGATATTGGAGTCTCTGGGAATTGCCATGCCAACCAGGTGCAGGCAGATTCCACGGGTCTGCGACAGGTCCAGGGCATGCAGGTTTGGGGCAGACTGCATGAGCCGCTCTTGAAGCCTGATGCTCGCTTCAACAGAGGAGCGCACTCCCTAAGTCCTCCCTAGCCCCGAATCCATCCGTGACCCGTTGAATAACTGCTTCTGGATAGGCAAGGAGATTGTGAATAACTCTCTCTCTCTCTCTCTCTCTCTCTCTCTCGCTGCTTGACATACAGTAGGTCTGGGTTCCTCACCGAATGCATGCAGTCCAGGCCTGCAGTGAGCTGCAGACTTCATCTGAGGCTCTCGTCGTTTGTGCCGCCTGAGGCGCTTCGACACCGCTGCGCTGTGGGCCTCACCGTGGCCCACGTCGTTGCCGCGCGGCGATCGAAGCCAAGGCCTCCCTACTGGCAACCCTCTCCGAAGGGTTCTATAGCGTTTAGGGCTTGATTCTTCACGAACCCCCTCTTGAGCCCTTTGGAAGCACACCCCGTCGCTTCTGCCCCGGCCGCTCCTCCAAAGGCCACCCTGATCAAAAGCCATGAGGAGGCCGTCGGCTGCCGTGGTGTCGGCACCTGCGAGCCGAACTTTTCAGCATTTCAAGTCACTGTCAGCTCGAAATTATATAGTATATATACTATATATATATATACACTATATACACTATATATACTATATATAGTATATATATATATATAGTATATAGAGTATATATAGAGTATATATAGAGTATATATGGTACCTTTCAATTTTGTTCCAGGATCTTTCCTGCTCGGAACTCCTCGGGCTTCGCGCTCCTGGATCCTCCCAGGAACCTGCGCTCGAACTTTCGCCTGGTGCGCCGTTACCAGAACGTGGCAAAGTGAGAGGTGCCCTGAAGTTTAGGGGTCTAGGGTTTGGGTTTAGGGTTTAGGGTTTAGGGTTTAGGGTTTAGGGTTTAGGGGGCAAAGTGAGAGGTGCCCTGAAGTAAGCCTGGAATCAAACTCCCCTTCCACAGCCCTGCTATGCAAGCACCTCTCACAGCTCTCGATTCGAGAGCCGTTTACAAAAGTGGTTCGCGGCGTCACAACCGAAAAGAGTGCAAGTCGTGCAAAAACGTCCAGGGTGTCGAGCAGCCACGAAAGGCAAGGTATTTGTGGATCAGTATGCATTCGGAAACTGCTCGGCGGGGTTTGCTAAAGTGGCTTTGGGAAGCCATCTCTTCAGCGAAAATGCTGAAAAACTCGAGTGGCCTCGGTTGCTTTGGGAAGCCGAATGCTCAACTCTGACTTGCTGCCTCTGCCGCCTGTCACACAGCATCCGCGACCACGTCTTCGTGCATCTGTTTCTCCAGTCTGAGCGTGAGTTGCTCACTTTCTAGATGGTCTTGTTGCATCTCGACTCGTCAAAACTTTATACCTTACTGGGCGCTCCGTGTCCCTGCAGGGAGTCCGTGGAGTGTAAATGAATGCAAGCCGCTGTAATTACGGGGCATCGCGATGCAACCATCGGTGCGTGGCATGTCATTGTGGGAGCAACTCATCAACATGGGCTATACGCTAAAGGAAAATGCTAGGATCACAGGAAGTGATCGCGCTCGGCGGGCTCCGTGCGCCTGTTCGGCATGCAACTTGATAGGAAGCATCTGGTACCAGATGACTGGCTTCAGGAAGTTTTAACATGTTGGCAGTTCTCCGGCATGCCGGCAACGAAGGAATGAAGACATTACAAGCGGTGATGCCGTCGTGTGGGAAAATCGGATGGCATCAGAGAAATTGACATTAATGCAAATCATCGCAGCTGACGGTGCCAATTCGTGCAGAGACACACAAGTTGCCCTTGGCATCACACGCGTGTCCTTCGCCTGACCAGACTCAGGATTCTCTTACCTTTGGTTAGTAGGGAATGGAAGAATGGTAGTAATAGTAGTTATCATTGTACCCCATTCCTCCATTCCCTACTAACCAAAGGTAAGTTCTGGGCTGCAAATCCCCGCAAAGCATGGCAGCACGTTGCTGAGCAGCGAGCCCTACAGCTCGTCGAGGGCGCCGCGGTGTGCTGAAAGGAGCAGTCGCACTTGCCGTGGTAGCTGCTCTCAAGGCAACCTGACAAGAAGAAATCGCTTTGGCTCGAGCCGCGAGAGTGTCCGGAGTACTCACCTCGACCTTTCTTCGCAGCTTGTGACGCTGCAGTGGCCGGACACTCTTCTCGGCGCCGAGAAAAGCCTTGCAAGCAGAAGGATAGAAACTGGTGAGTGATGGATTGCTCCGAGCTGCAGCGCCTTCTTCTGAAAGTCCTCCATGCTGATCTCGTTTTTGATGACACGCACATAATCCATGAAGCGCATCTCGTCATGGACGATATTCACCTCACACTTCGCCCAGTGGTCCAGTGGAAAACGTGGAAAGAGCTTTCGAATGCTTGTGAGAGAGAAAGGGGTGCGAATTCACTCACAGTCGCAAACCCAGAGAGCCCAATACCCCTTAATTAAGCAATGTACCTTAAATTTTAGGGGCCTTAATATTATGATTTAAGGTATATTCCTTAATTAAGGGGTATTGGGCTCTCTGGGATTCACTCACAGTTGCAAAGCAGCTTGCCGGGCAATTTCTGGCTCGCGCCGCGGACCTGCTTCTGCTGGCAAGCTCTACGATGCCACAAGCTAGGAGGTTCATGGGTAGTTATAAGTAGGGTTATAAGTCCCTTTAATATGGGTTATAATTCATGAGGGTAGTTGTCAAAATTAGGGTCCCTGTTGGGGTACCCTAAATATTGGGTGCCGTATTACAATAAGGAGCCAAAAAGGGACCCTAATTTTGACAACCACCCATGAACTTCCAAGAGGAGCAAGCAGTTCAATCAACTGCCGGAAAGCTGAATTCAATAGACTTCAGGCAGGAGCTGCAGGCCGCTTCGTGTCCACACTCTCTGCCAGAAAATGTCTGTGGAAAATACTCGCAGAAACTACGTATTGGCTACAAATAGCCATGAACATGCACTCCCTTGCTCTTAGAGCAGCTGTGCCGTTGCCAGGGCCGCCGCAGCAAATCCGACCACCTCCGTCCTTGCATCCGACGTCGAGGTTGCACCGTTCGTCGACGTTGCACCGGACGTCGTCGTTGCACCGGCCGTTGTGCTGGTGGTTGTGCCGCAGGTCGGGACCGTGCTCCAGGACAGGCTGGCGTTGTTGTAATGGCTGCTGGTATTCACCTGGGCACACCGCGGATCGGCCGAGTCCGGCACGAAGTTCTGGGCACCGCCTTCAATGGAGCACACGACGTTTGTGGAATTGACATCGCAGCCCATGCCCGCATCGGGCACGACCGTACAAGTAAAGTTGGAGTCCTCACAACCTGCAGGAGAGGCACAGCCAAGAGAGGTGCCCTCACTGCAAGTGAAGCCCAGACCGGTTGGCACGTCCATGGTCCAGCCCCAAGCCGCCCTTGCCGGCGAAGCAAAGAGTCCTCCAAGCGCCTGGAAGGCCATGGCGCCGGCAGCTGCAGCAACGATCTTCATGGTCATCGGAACGGCGTGAGATGCAAAGAGCGCTTGATGCTAAAATTGCTTTCCGACCGAGTCGCGTAAAGCGGGAAGTGCAACTTGGCTCGGCTGGCAAAGATACTTCAGCTCCATGCGGGAGTTTCCAAAAATTAGGGTACCGTATTTTGGGGTCCTTATAATAAGGGTCCTACTATTTAGGGTACTATATTAAGGTCCCCTATTTTCGGAAACTCCCATGCAGCAAGGGCACATCTCCGAAGTAGTCCTGGAACATGAGATTGTAGATCCAACCACCTGCGAAGGATGGGGGTTTCCGAAAATTAGGGTACCTTATTTTGGGGGTCCTTATAATAAGGATCCTATTATTTAGAGTACTATATTAGGGTCCCCTATTTGCGGAAGCC